GCTGGTCACACGATCACCCAGCCACCTGAAAAAGAAAAGTTCGAACCCCATCTGGCAGCTAATTTAAATCCCTTTTCCTCCTCGGTCGGGGCCCCTCAGAGGCAGCTCAGCCCACAAGAACAAGAGCTATTAATTCCTAATATTATTTGACCACGCCCCCTCAGACAGCAACGCCCGAGTTATGCCTTAATCCATCTCAGATACAACAGACCAAGCAGACCGCACCTGTAAGGAAGGTGGTGGAAACCAATCGAGCCATTATGCACTAGAAATACGCGGAACAAACCAATAAAAAGCAAGACAGAGGTGAACCAAGTGGTGAGACATTTAGGCTAAAGTCACCAAGGAGTTTCTGTAAGTATATTATTAAACAGCAGTGTGTCAGACACCCGTGATAAAAAAATGGAAATTCTAAAGTTTTTCAGAATTGTCAGTTTGAAAAGCACTTTGGTTCTTTAGATTGTGTTGATGTGACGACATGAAGCGAGAATTCAGGTACAGGCTGACAGCTTAGTTATTTCTCACAATTTGCGTCAGACGTTTCATCTGAAATGCATTCATATTACTTTATAATCCTGTGTGGATATGAAGGAAATTTGTGAATAAATGGAATTGAATATTTGCTTAAAAGAAAGTTAAATAAATGACGCAATATCGCTGTCATTCCCCAACAGCACACCTATCAAAGCTCTACGCTAAATATAACTTTTAATGAGCTCAATGATTTTTCCGTATTTTGATTTATCTCCATTATGACTTTATACACATTTCTTTGTATAAAAATGTGTCGGTTGGATTTTGGAAAGTTTGAGAGTGATTTTGATTTACATTCTGAGGGTCCTTGCTGGTGGAATCCAAGGGGCGAGGAGGTAAAACCTTTAAATGCTACAGCTTTTCGTGTCGGAACAGAAAGTCGCAGGAAAAGAAACGCGAAGGTTCCGGTCCCCAGAACAAACGGTGCAGCTCTTTGGTGGTGAAATCAATAGCCAAGGAGTAAAGTGACAACATGCCAAAAGCAGTGTGATCCCGTTCAGGGCAATACGCCAGTTCTGCATGCGGTTCTGGAGTCGCTCTCGTTACAGTTGGCCTTAGGGACACTTCAGTCTCACCTTATCAGCCAAGAAAGTTTCTTTTCAAACATTCTTATCAAGTCAATAGAAAAGAACAAGAAAATAACAGAGTGTAGTTTCGGGGTCTAGTTTTGGGTAAGATCTGTTCACAGCTGACAAAAATGTGCGTGATCATGTTCAGCAGTCTTGACGGTCTCATGGAAATGTTAACCACTAGGAGAGGAACTCCTTACACTCCAAGCAGGGGATTCAGCTGATGTAACATTATGTGCCTCTGGATCTTAATACAGCAAACGTGCAAGAACAAACTGCTTCCCTTGAAAAACTTTCTCTGTCAAAAAAAAATCAAGGAAACAGCTTCTTCCACCATTGTTTCAGGAGTGATTCTTTCAATGTTTACTCTACAAACAAAACATTGTACCAAAAACTTAAGTTTTCTCTTTACACAATATGATTTGATATATATTTGATTATGAAACCAACTTTTAAATCTTTATGATTCATGTTGTATATACTTGCAGCAGATAATCTGTATCTGTTATTTTGTGTCTCATCGTGTTTTGAAAGGGACTTTGTAAAGCTACCGATAAGTTTAGCTCCCTTCCGCAAAGACCATGGATTGGAAGACTCTCCGGGACTTCCTCAGTGGGGTGAACAAGTACTCCACTGGCTTCAGCCGGATCTGGCTGGCGGTGGTCTTTGTTTTCCGGGTGATGGTGTTCGTGGTGGCAGCGGAACGCGTATGGGCCGACGACCAGAAGGACTTCGACTGTGACACGCGGCAGCCTGGATGCCCCAACGCCTGCTACGATCACTTCTTCCCCATCTCGCACATCCGCCTGTGGGCCCTGCAGCTCATCTTCGTCACCTGCCCCTCCTTCATGGTGGTGCTGCACGTGGCATACCGTAAGGACCGTGAGCGCAAATACCGCGCCAAGCACGGCGAGGGCACGCGCCTCTACGACAACCTGGGCCAAAAGCACGGCGGCCTGTGGTGGACCTACCTGCTCAGTCTCTTCTTCAAGACCGGCATGGAGATTTGCTTCCTCTATCTGCTACACATCATCTACAACAGCTTCTTCCTGCCGCGTGTCGTGAAATGCAAACAGTGGCCATGCCTTGGAGAAGTCAGCTGCTACATCGGCCACCCCACGGAGAAGAACGTCTTTACCTACTTCATGGTGGGCGCCTCTGCCCTCTGCATCATCCTCAACATCAGCGAGATCTCCTACCTGATCTTCGTGCGCCTCCTGCGTGCGGCCCATAGGGGGAGGCGAAGCCTTTTACGCCAAGGGTCCAAAGACAAAGAATGCAATGCATGCGGCGTCTCCGCCACCCGGCTGGACTTGAAAACCGACCACCAGGTTAAAGAAAAGCAGGACTCCTCCGGTGCCTAAGGACTCTGTGGTCTCAAAAGACTCAAAAATCTTTTCTATTATTTTATTTGACTTATTTCTGTGTAGAAACTCAGTGGCACTGCTTTATGTTTTGCTTCCTACTTCCCTTCGTGGTTGTCCATTGTTAAAGAGGAGAAATGTTTCTCTGAGCTACTTTCATCCATACAATAACAAACATCTACACCCATACACAGAAAGCTTACCTATATGTTTTCTAACAGATTCATCAATTTACTTCATCTTACACTGCATTCCTGTACAAATGCCAACATTAACCAAATATTTTAGATTTAAATGAAATCACACAATAGATTGCCTTATGTATAGTGAACAGAGAACCTAAAATTCACACAAGATAATTTTATCTATTGTCAAATGAGAAATATAAAAATTCATTTCTGCCACACCTGTAAATGTATTAGTTAACAATAACAATAAAAGGAAGTTTTTAAACAAAAATAGTTTGTTTGATGCTTTCATGAAACATTTAAATTAAGGGTAACTCTTTACATTAACTGCACCTCCATAATTCCTTCATAATGCATTTGTAGAACATGCATTGTACCTTCATAATGCATTCATAGAACACTCATAATCAACATGTAAGTATACCTTAACATCCTAATTTACCTTAACAGAAAAACTCTAATCCCAACAATGACAACCTTAACCCCTGCCCAGCCCTAACCTTAACCATAAGTAACCAAGCAAAACACATTAGGCAGCGGTGACCTAATGGTTAGGGAGATTCATTTGTAATCAAATGATTGCTGGTTTGAATCCCTTACCAGCAAAGTACCCCTGAGGAAGGGACTGACCCCGAGCACTGCTCCCCGGGGGCTGAATTAGCTGTCCCCTGCTATATCACATATGGATTAAATGCAAAGGACGCATTTCATTGTTGTGCCATCAATGACAGCTAATCACGTTCATACTTCACTCATACAAGTCTTTTAGCATCTTCAGTTTCTTGATAGCTGTTACAGAGTTTTATAAAACTGAGTTTCCTCTTGTGGGAACTGAAAAAAATGGAAATAGCAGGCTTTTATCACATTGTGGGGACATATGGTTACACAACCCCATAACCCTCAAAAAAATCAGGTTTTTAGTACATTGTCGGGAACATTTAGTCCCCACAATGTAATATAAACGTAATCCACACCCACACACACATATCTTAACATCATATGATGAAAATCGTCATAGCAACATATGACGATAACATCTGAATTACAAAACAAGCCCTGTGGTTCACTCTCTTTTCTATTTGGTTATATATTCAACTCTAAATATTCAATAATTCCAGGAACAGTATCAAATTATGAAGAGAGTCATCCATAAATTACAGATCCGGTTCCATGAGTCAGTGCAGGGGGGTGGGCACTAAGCAGGGCATTGTCACTTTAAGGGAGAGATTACTCTCTCTGCCTTATGTTTGTACCTGGGAGGGGGGTAAAAAGCTCATGGACACCAGTCCCCAAAAGACCATCTAAAAGATTTTGAAATATCCCTCATTCACAATGGAAAACTTAGGTAAGTTTCTGTTTAAATGTCCTAAACTCTACATACTCTGCAGAACTGTGTTTTTGCACGGGTGTTTCAGGGCAAAGTCCATATTTGTAAGGACCATTTCAATGTCTATGTTTAAACTGCTGAAAAACAGAGTGGCAGATTTCCGCCATTTCCATTGCTGTGTTTTATCAGCGTTGTTGAAATGGGATACATGCGGTTCAACATCACATTCAGAGTTACATCTCAAAACATCCAGCCAGCCTTACAGATGTTGATGGTGTGAAGGAATTCTGATAAAGTGCTGAATCCAGTTGGCCTGGGATTCAGAGAGGAGCCCTTGTCAGTCCCTAATGAGTATCCCTCGCTCCTCTTCCAGTTATAAAAACATCCAGAATTAATAGTGGGCAGCTGTTTTGACTGTAATACCCACTTTTGAAGCAGGATGATTCTCTGCTTCATCAACAAGCTGCATATTAAACTAGTATTTAATTGGTTCCATATAACATCCATCTGTGTAAATGGTTTTGAAGTTAAATTCCAAGCTACTAACAGTTATTCCTGAACAAAAATTTCTGCCACCAACGGTGTAATGTGATCTTAATACCATTACATGCCTTCAGCTATGGAATGAAGCTATTTGGCTGTTTTATATCATTAAGCTTCCTGTTTTTAACCCAGTTTGCAAAGCAAAGATTTTTTTAAGGACTGTTTGGCAGCCACAAATATAATGAAAAAACATATAAACATTTTACAAGCTAAATTATACCTGGATGTACGCAATTCTTCAGCTGCAACCTGTGTGACAATGCCAATGAACAGACTTGCCTTAATCTTGTCCCCACGATGACAGTATGGAATCATGCCACCATCAGTCATGCATGTAAATTTCACTTGTGACAGTCTGCAGTGGAAATCTGTGATTGGCAGTTGACGCGACGGCCCAGAAGCACCCAGCACGCATCGCTTATGTCACCAGAGATTTCTGGATTTTTCCAGGAACTGCAGGGCTGTTTATGTTTTCAGAACACCTGCACTTCTTGGGTCGACGGCAATTAGGAGGATTACCCGGTGAATCGGCCCTCGTGCTGCGATGAAGCCGAACACAGCGGCTCAGTCTTGGGAGAATAAGCCCCCCCCAGTTTTGGGGGCCTCCTCACTCTTCTGTTTACTACTCCAGAAGAAGATATTCTATTTACCGAGCGTGCTGTGTAGCTGCAGGGGTGTCGCTGTGTGTTATGCGGGTAATCATTTATCTCCCTTGAGCTGTTTACCTCAGAACCAATGCAGCCAATGAAAGGACAGTGATTATTAGCCTCCCAATTTAAGTTTTAAGATGCCGTGCATGTGCATACAGGAATCCCGCTAGGCCAGACTGGTGAGCCCCCTCCCCCCCACTATATTTATGAAATTCTGAATTTATGCTGAGAAATCTCAGTATAGGTAATACTTTGGAGCAGTAGCTGGACCAGGCATGGAGCCATATAATCTGTGCAGCTCTTGACAGCCAGAAGCTGTGGCACTTTATTGGGACTGTCCTTGTCGCGTTTCAGCCCCCCGTCATGCCATCTGTTACCCTGCTCTTGTTCCCCTATACCCATCCCCTCATCCTGCCCTCCCACAGGAGTCGGTCACAGGGGTGTGGCAGACGGCACAACCTTGATGAGGGCAGGACTGGCCATGGTAGTGGTGGGCCACTTGAACTTCCTGCTGGGGGCGCTAGTGCACGGCAGTGTGCTCCGACACATCAGCCTACGCTGGCAGAGCCAAGCTACGGTGTACACCTGCGCCCACGTCGCCGCCCTGGTGGCTGGCCTCATGGTGAGAGTGCCACCCCACCCCTGCAATCCTGCACATTTTGGACCTGACCCTCAGTACAATTAAGTCTCTGAGTCTGTTGAAGTTTGCTTTGTCAACCGTTTCAGAAATGATCGCATTTGAATTATACTCATATACAGTAATGTGCAAAAGTCTAAGGCAATCAAAGAAAATGATGTTTAAAGGATCTCTATGTTGTTGTAGCTTAGCTATTTTAAAAACTTTAGTTCTTTGATTCAGCCACTAGCACACCTCATATGGCTGAGCAGCACCTCATTGAGGGCAGTGGTGGCCTAATGGACAGGGAAGCACACTTGTAATTGAAAGATTGCAGGTTTGAATCCCTAACCAGCAAGACACCACTGAGTTACCTAGAGCAAGGTACTGCTCCCTGGGTGCTGAATTAGCTGCCCCCTGCTATGTCATGATGTCACATATGGGTTAAATGCTGAGGACACAATTGGTTGTGATGTGTCAACAATGACCACTGGTCCTGTAATTCTAATTTGGCTACTTAACTATTAAAATAATGCATTAAATGAGCTGGTGGTGAACTGTAACAGATATGTGGAACGGCTGAGGTGCCCCGAGGAGAGGTTAGGGAACTGAAGCAGTGTTCTTATAAAAGTCATACCAGCAACGCTGTGGAGATCAGAAAAAATTCCTGCTAGTTATTTTATTGTGTTGTTATTCATTTGCATATGTTATAATGTTAAATTGTCTTTCTTCTTAGCAAATACGCAAAGATAAATACTTCTGAACATTTTCTTCGACTGACTAAAGCCTTTGCATAGCACTGCACTTAGCTGGAAATTCTCTAACCTGTGTGTTTCCCAGGGAATCATTGTCGGAGTATCAACCCTTATCATACCCAGATGGAAGAGCAAGAAACTAGTGTGTGTCTGGTGATGTATCATTTAGCCCTGAAACCCCCCAACCCCACACACACACACACACACCCTTTGTCGATTTCTATTCAACACCGTCTGATCCCCAGCTATACCTTTCATGGGTCGTCCAATCACAGTGGAGGCAGATTATTCCCTAAAATTAGCTCATTTCCTGCTGCTCTCATTTGCTGCCCCTTTATTGTTACTTCCTGTCGAAAAGCGATGAGGTCGCTAGTGTTGTTGAAGAACGTGAAAGACGTGTAGAGACTAATGACCAGAGGAGAAAAGTGGGTTTTAGCTCTGTAAACCTTTCTGTCTTCAGTTGTAGCTGGTTGTGTTTATATCAGGATTTATTTAGATTGAGTCATAGCTTGACTTCTGCTCTTAACCCAGGTGTTTGAATAATATATAATGTTTACTACAAATGCATATAATTACGTGTTTTTGAGAAATTGTGGAAGCACTTTTTAATTTATTGGATAGTTATCGTTTGTAGTTGTGTGATTTGTATGTGCTGCTGACTAAATGTCCGTTGCTATAAAAGGGATGTTACTGGGTGACACAGTGGCTGCTTTAATGCCACTAAAACATGGACTGAGGACTAGTTATTGGATGCCCCCCTCCTGCTTTCCATAGTTTGGCTTCCCTGACAATTCACCTCTTTCTTAATCTTAATTGTCGCTAACTGAAGTAGCTATTGTAGCATGAGCTCGCTAGCTTTTGTTGTGTTATCGTGCGTCCTTCTGCCTCTGGCTGTGTAGATCATCCTTACTCTCAGTGCCTTGTATCACTCGCGCTAATACCTGCTGGGTTGAACAGTAGGTGTTTCTCAATACCAAGAACACAAATATCACACTTTTAGTCTTGACAAGACCAGTCTTGGTAACTTGGCTCCCAAGAATGAACTTGGGCTGCAGTGAATCATGGGATTGTTCTCTTCAACCTATGCATCCTTGATATTTGGGGCGGAGCAAGAACAACATCCAGGGATTTTGACCGTCCTCTGTACTTCTGTTCTTAGTATTGGAACTGGTCTTTGGCAATGGAGGACGACGTAAAACGGGTACAAGAGATCACAAGTAGGGTGAAGTACGCATATTGAGAAACACCCAGTATCTCTGCCTTGATGTCTTCTGTCAGTAGATGTGCTTCCTGCTGTGGGGCAGCCTGCTGGGTGGCCTCCTGGCTGCCGCCTCGGTCGCAGGCCTGGCTGTGACCCTGGGGAGGGCCATCGCTGCCGGGCCCCACAGTCTTCTGGCCCACTGCAAGGTCCAGGATGCCTCTGGCAACCCCGCCATCGCCAACGAGTGCCCCTTCCAACCCACCCGCATCTACGTGAGTCTGCTGGTGTCTGTTGGTGGGCAGAAGGAGGCATAGGGACGCTGGAATGCTAGCTAGGCCAAAGTGATATGATGGATGCTTAAAACTGGTCACATCATCAGGATGAGAATGGCAGGGATAATATGACCAAACCCAAGGTTTCCAAGGCAATGAGGCATGAGGGAATCTCTTCCTGCTTTCTTGGCACCTGTGTTCAGCCCCTGAAGATCTTCTAGGGTGTATGAGACCTGCAAAGAGCTTGGTCTCCACTCAAAGGATCAAAGCTCACTGAACCGTACTGAAGCCACTTATCACACTGATCAGCCTGAGGTGACATTCTGCAGTCACCCCACAGAAGTGCAACCTACAAGTTGAGCAAGAAATACAATGGGGTGGCATGTGGCTCAGTACATTAGGACGAAAGGTCCTCGGTTCAAATCCCAGGGAGGGCAGAGTGATGTCACCATTGAGCCCCTGAGCAAGGTCCTTAACCTCCAATTGCTCCAGGGACTGTCTGATCCTGAAAATGTGCTTCACTTGGACATAAGTGCCTGCTAAATAAGTCAAATGTTGGTTTAGGAGACAGCATGGATGCTGTTGTGCCTGACTCAAGGAAGGTGCTATCCCTGCGGAGTGCACACACACATCCATAAAAACTAAGCAAAACCTACCAGTAAAGTCATGTTCTCCCATTGCCAGGGAACAACCATTGTCCTCTGGGTTCCTCTCATTCTGTTATGCATGGTGGAATCCTCCTTCTTGGGGAGGAATGTTGTGGTTTGCGTCTCCTTCCTGTACTTCCCTGTCCCCCGCCGGGCCAATAGGAGGACCATAATTGCCACACAGGTATGACTCATCTCCCTAGAAACTTCTAAATCACCTTTTTCCCTGGCTTAATGTTCATTTTTTAACTTTAATTCAGATGTGTGGGCATGGTTCTCAAACTTGATTCTTCTAACACTAGCAAACAGCAGTTCCTGTTTCATTTCAAAGTAAGTCTGTATTTCAGGTGAGAGTGGTGAGCCGAGAGGAATTGACATCTGCTTCCTGGGGGGAGCCTAGCAAGCAGGGGGCAGAGCCTCGTCAAGGTTGGGCGGGGCCTTCAGAACTGGAGGCAGGAGCTCCAGAACAGCCCAAGCTGCGAAGCTGGCGCAGTCATTTTGACAGAAGCAGCCTTTGGATCTGACTTCTGTAGTACCTGTTATATAACTTGTCACTAATAGGTATATTCTCCTGAGATACAGGGGAAAAAAGTTTTTTAATATTGATAAAAATGCTTATTTGACCAGAAGAGGAGGTTGGCAATGTCACATGTGTGACACACATGTGATGTCATCTTAAAGCACTAAGTTCCTCTTTATGAAGAACAAGACTTAAAGGAGTGGCATTTCCGATATGAGAATTAGCATAAAACCATAAATGTCCTCTACAGAGGACAAAAATAAACTGCTGGTTCTCAGATGGATGTATAACTAACTGGAATTTGTTAAAAGGTATAATATTAATGCAGCAGGAGTTATGTTATTTGGCTACATGAATATCGCAAACCTTATGTTTTGAGCATCGATTTATTTAGACTGCATGTGTCTATCAGAGCTTATGGTGTCTTACTATACCAAACCCTGTCTGGTCATGGTATCCATGCGTGTTCTTGACACGTTCCCCAGTTGACATGGGACAGCTTGGCACAGTGGCTTCTCTTTCCGTTGTTGATGTGTCTTTTTGTTTTTCACTTTCACGCTTCATAACTGGAAGCTGTGCCTTTTCAGGATTCCACACATGCAGGAATGTGCTCGCATCTCTACTCACCTCAACATAAAAACAATGTCAGTCCCTGAAACGTGTGTCTTTAAATACCCCAACCGCCCCGCCCCCACCCTAGTCTGTGCGTTGGGAATTGTCCTTCACAGAAAAAGACAGTATTTTCCACTTTATAGCTAAAATAGTAAGGCGGCGAGTTAAATGTATTGTGTGTCCCACGAGAGAGGAGAAGCCCAACTGTAAAGGGGACAATAGCAGAACGTCCTCTGTGCTATACGGCAACAGCACTTACGTCCTCAGTGGTTTTTCTGCCCTTAACTGTAGATTCTGACATCTTAATTGGCAGCACAAAAAGACAGTTAAACAGCTCAGAATAGATGTGAATGTGGCCTCCATTTTGGTATATTACCCTGCATTTGTGAACAAGCCCCGAGTGAGTAGGAAGTCCCTCTGAACAACAGGTCTCTACAGATCCTAATCACTGGCATAATGAAGGCAGTGTGATTCTGGAAGTTACGGCTTCCCCCCTTTCTGAACTCTGGGAATGGTTTGTACTCACAGTACAGATGCTGAGCGGAGAAATGGGACTGTATCACTTGCTGCTAAGCATGGGGGAGTACGTTCTACAGTCATGCTTGTATGTTATGATACAGTCATGATTAAAAAAAAAAATTCAGTTGGGCATAATAGGGACCATAACCCACACAGAGTCGTCGACCAATGATATGTTTTGAATCAGTGAATGAGAGAGGAGGGGCCATTCTGAGACCAATCATCTTTCAGCTAGGTCTGGTGTCCCTGTGTCTCCACCTTATTATATGGCCTTATGATGATAACAAGCCTTCTGTTACCCAGTATCAGTTCAACGTCTCATTTGACTCTCCCAAGCTGGCGCCAAGGATCTCGACTAGGCTGATATGTTACAGGAGCATCTCGGAACCATCTGATCTTTTCCATTCATACGTATCAGTCCTTTTAAGTAGCATCAAATAACGGGCGAGCACCATGTTTTCATTGCAACAAAAGGAACAGTCCGAAATGTGTAATTGAAGTATATTTTCCATCAAAAGAGGTAGGGAAGGGGGAGGGGTAAAGGGGGAACAGAACTCATGATTATCATGCAACAAGAGAACAAAAGGAACATGTGTGTAATGGAAGGTTAGCTTGACAAGCTAGCATTGGAGCTCCTTGGAGATACAGTGCCTCTGCAGCCACTGCTACCTGTAAGTGGCCCCTCGCAGGCTCCTCGCAGCAGCAGGAGTGTGCTGCGCCAGCGATGTTCCTAGTGAGCGGCTCATTGTGAAATGGGCCCATCTGCACTAACGCGCTAACGTGCTAACACGCTAAAGTGCTACCAAGCTAACAGCAGATCTGCTCTCAGTGGACCGAGTGCTGTGTAGGACAAAGAATCTGCTTCCTCTCCCTGTTGTTGGATTAAATGTTTTCTCCTGCACAATGAGGGAAAAAAAAAATCTAAACCCATTAGAAGGGATGCATGTGTAAACAGGATATTTAATACATTCTCTTCCTTGTTGAGCTCTAATATCAGCGGGTGCAATGTATTCATGAACAAACATAATATTTCTATTTTTTTTTTTCTTTTGGTACACAATGCAGTGCCTGGTAAAACACACTGATGTCACTGCTAAAAGTCATAACAAAAATCTTGCGGTGTTCAGCTTTCTCCACACGCACACGCATACACACACACACTGCGCACAAGCACTGTGCCCTCAGCTAAGCTACTGCTTTCGCTAATCCTACATGTACGGTTCACAGGAAAAATAAAATCCCCTGCAGCAAATCCTTCCCACAATTCAGTGCAAAGCTTGGTAGAATGGTAAAATGATAGAATTACAGCCCAGAATGGTAACTGGATGAATGCGGGCAAATCAGTCTTTAAGTCTCGCTTATCCAAATGGCTGCGGTATGATTATCATCCTCCGAAAAAAAAAGCACAAAAATAAATACACTAAGAAAATAAAATTATACAAAACAATGACCAAAAAAATGAAAAAAAAGCAACTGTGTCTTCAGCCTTTTTCTCTTCCTTCGTGAGAAAATCATAAACTCCAGTCGTAAAAACTCCAGGAACTGTTTAGCTGACATACACCTGCCTTGAGTTCAGAAGAGCAAATCTAAATGAATGCTGCCTTCATGGTGACTGCATACATAAATACATATAATACCACGCTTTTGGATGCATTTGCATTTCATATACAGGTGAATATGAATATAAAAGGGGATCGAAATCTGTGCGTTAAGGAAACTGAGCAAAAACAAAGCGGTTCATATGTGGATAACAGAGCGAAATCGTCACCCAGAAATACAGATCATGCCAAACTCTGCCCTCTTCACTGTCCAGTCCTCCAACGTCCGATTTCACCATCCACCCATCCGTCCATCTCTTCCGAAAATTAGCAGGTGACTGACAGCCGACAGGTGATGCTTCAAACAGTTTCTTCTTATTACGTTCCTCTTTTTTTTTGAAAAATTAAAATGATAATGCTTTTGTTTTTCTTTTGACTCTTTCTTCTGGTACACAAGAAAAATAAGACAGGAACCTTCATGCATTTTGTGTTTGTTTCCCTCTGACAGGGGGACACTCAGAACTGTGACGCGCTGCTGGGGTCACACTGCAGTAGCCTCACGATGGAGGGGTCGCTTTTGGCACCTTTGATGAACTCTTCCAGGGACAGCTTACCTGTTGGGGGAAGGGGGGAGAGGAAGTGAGCAATCAACCAGTCACAATCTGTTTCACCTACAAAGTGTGCAACCCCACCAATCGCAATCCTTTTCATCAACCATAGTGAACAACCCAGCAATCACAATCCATTTCTCCTACCTAACTAAAGATACTTGTATCCCTGACCTCCTACTGCAAGGGTTAGCCGTTTTGCAGGCAGATTTCTTCAATATCAAGACTAGTGATCTGATTGGTCGGCACAGTTAATTAACTCACCGTCATTGTTGAGGTCCATCTGCCTGAAGATTTTGTCTGTCCTCTTTTCAGGAGTGGACTCGTCCTCTGGCATCTTCATCACAGACGACACCATCTTGTATATGGCCTGGATAAAGGGGGCGGGGAGAGGGACAGGGACATTTCGGTGAGAAGCTGATATTAGGATGCAGGACAAGACCAAGGTATTTCTTGTGATCTCTTCAGTGTTCTCAAAGACATCAAGGAAAAAGGGTTTCTTTGTCTGAATGTGAAATGGGATTGTGAAATGCCTGATGTTTTGTTCCGTCAGTTAATTGATTACCGAATGCTGCCAGCAGAGGCGCTGTACCTCATAGACATGCAGTATGGATGAGGGTGAGTTACCCTTACCACTCCAGAAAAGCTAAATGAAGTCAGTTGCCACTTTTAGCCACCAAAGGCCTGTGAGAAAAGACCCACAATCCCCGAGTGCCGGAGAACGGCAGCCTCGATTAGCCCGGGGATAATCCGTCAGTTCTGTACACTCAGGGACAAATCCCAGTTAAATTTACCTCGCTAATCCGGGAACAAGTTGCTACTCCCTGCCTCACACACCCCCCACCAGCACTCGCTCCGCTGTACCCCACCCATTCCATGTCTCCCCATGCCAGTCGTGTGGCCCAGCAATGCAAATATAGCTACTGTAAGCAAAACACTGTAAGTATGCTGACAACAAAACTGAGAAAAAGAGTTTTTCTAACTGTCCACTCGTGTGTGTAGTAGGTAGGCAAATGATCGTGTACTTATTCAAAACTGAGCATAGATAAACTACGATATTTTGTCATGAAATCAAACACAGCCAAAAAGCCCCGACATTGGTCATAACTCAATCTTGATAAAATATGCAGTTACAGTGTTTTGCCTTCATATGGCGTTACGGCTGTGTGCTTTCAGTCACAAAACCCATGGTATTCGGGTCATAAACATAACACTCCGCTTCTGTACCAAAACATGGACTAGGGGCAATTAATACTTATTTATAGAAAATAATAATAAAACCTCCTCCCTTCACCCATCTATTGAGAATTTCTACTGTTTCTTGGTTTTCCACTACAAAGCTAATTTGACCTGGGTTTGCTTTATATAATTATCCAATAAAACTAAAAAAATCCTTGACGTCCCTCTGGAGCAAATTTCCTTTTGTCTTAAATTAATCCATGGCCCCCGTGTTTCTCCCGTCGATAAGGCCCCCGGTTCTATACTAACATAGACGCAGATGTTTCCCCACCTGCACAATCTCCAGCATCTCCTCCCTGCTGATGTAGCCGTTGCCGTCCAGGTCATACATGCTGAAGGCCCACTTGAGCTTCTGCTCCAGCTTGCCACGTGAGGTGACGCTCAGCGCGATGATGAACTCCCGGAAGTCGATGGTGCCGTCGTTGTTGGTGTCGAAGGTACGGAAGACGTGTTCGGCGAACTTGGAGGCATCGCCGTAGGGGAAGAAGTTCGCGTAGATCTTCTTGAACTCCTCGACATTGAGGTGGCCGCTGGGGCAGTCTTTCAGGAAGCCCTGCAATGCAGGAGGAGCAGAGACTTATGGGAAATGGGCCAATTCATGCACAGCTTCCTGGCAGTTTAGGTAATAAAATTACGGATATAATAAATATTAATTTGGTTATCCGGGATTTAAATGCCAAGCCTTGTTAAACTGCTGATTCATGATCAGCCAGCGATGTTTGGCTCATCCTTTGTCATTATGACAAGATCTACTACTCAAAAAATGAAGTGGGCTTTCAATGTACCGCATGAAAAAGAATATTTGTGATGGACTGGCATCCCGTCCAGGGTGATCCCTGCCTCGTAACCTTCCTGAGATAGGCTTGGTGCTGGATAACTAGTATTAGAGACTGTTGGCACAACAAAGACAC